CTCTCTGAAGAAAGTAAAACTCAAGAAAGAGGGGGCAGTTTGCTGACAGTGGATAATAACAGTGCTGAAAATTCAGTTTAATTATTAAGTTTCTTATTATGTTAATTGACATAACACATCAGAAAGCAATTGACACAAATCATGTTTGGTATAGGGCATGCATCTTCATAACCAGCATGTTGGAAGAAAAAAGCATTTAGGACTCTAAAACTGTTGTGTCCTATTTAGTACAAAACAAAATATAGAAGACAGATTAAAGAAGATCTTGAGCATCCATCACAGAAGTTGCAACAAAACAGTTTATTAAAGGCTTTTGCATAGATGCAGATGCCTGATTCAAGCAAGTACCTTGTTAAATGAACAGAATACAGGCACACATACAGTATCAGTGAAGTAAAACTGAGAGAATATCAAGCAGAAACCCAGAAAAGACGGACTTGTTAACATTATGACAGATAAGTCATTTAAAGCTAGGTGAACTTCCTATTATTGCAGAAATTGAAAGAAACTGAAAATGCACCCTGAAAATTTTTCATCTCTGTAGAATTCCAAACTATGCACCAAAATGAGCTCTAAAATTACCATAAATAAATAAATAAATAAATAAATAAATAAATAAATCAGATTAGCAGGGTGGGATATTGACATGCAGATGGACTCCAGGAGTTTTCCAGTGTGTTCATAAAGGTGGTCACTATTTCATATTTCTTGAAAATCCTAATGCACACATTTTCTAATTTTTGAGATTACAGTTACCATATTAAAAAAAAAAAAAACAAAACAACATGATGAAACATGTCCTGATATTCTCCTTCCCCAACTCTTTTTCATATGTTTTCCGTATTTTTTTTTTTTCATATTTCTTATTTTGAAAGGCCTGACTTAAAACTGGTTCTTGATTTTTACCTAACCAATAGTATAAAGACTAGAGGGATATCTTCCCCCCTAAGGACTTAGAGTAGAAACATTTCTTCAGTTGTCATGGATACATCTTTTTCTGATAAGTGTCTGCCAGAGTTTTTTTCATTAAATTTGTGTTAAAAATACATAGGAGCTATGATTTGTAAACAGTGTGGCTTAATATATTTATAAAGTTCAGCTGTGTTGGTTTTATCTCACTGTTTCATACAGTTAGCTTCCTGCTCGTTCATCAGTCATCTATTGTGTCTTAGAAGGTGATGGAATTTGTGATGTTATAAAAATCGAAAAGAAGTTAAAAAAAAAAGATCTTTAAAATGTGCAAGGAAATACAAAATCCCTCTCTGTGCTTTCTATGTGGATGGTACAAAAAAAAAAAAAAAGCCCTCAGAAACTGTATTATGTTGCTTTACCTTCCTTCAGGACGTTTTCACAAGAAATCAGTTGCATGTGTTTGTAAAAATCCCACTTTAAAAATTAGCTTTGAGACCCCTTTATACTTAAAAACGTTCATCAGCTCTACGTGAAGAGAAGCAAATTGTGTCTGTAGAGGTGACTGGTGATGGGTTTACAAATGAATTAGACATTAAGATGAAATGGAAGGTAGGTAAGAGAAAAGAAAATATTTTGGAGAAGAAAAGCACTGTTACAACAGAGAAACGTACTAATTGAAGGGAGAAAGATGTTGATGAGGTCAGATAAAAACCGTACTCATTATAATGTGCTACTTTTAGTTTCCCTTTTCCTACTTTGCTGTCCATGTCTCTTCCAGATTTTCTGTTTCTTTCCTTCCATCTGTCAGAGCAGAACTTGATTTTTCATGTCTATGTATTAATGTTGCTCTGGCTGTTTCTAGCAGAATTGAAAAAAAAACCCACTGCTAAACTTTTCCTACTTTCAGTAAGTGGAAGTAACATTGCCCCAGGCTCAACGCCAATTAGAGTCCAGAGACTTCCTTTTCTACCACAGTGTGTGATGTTGTAACACTTGAGCAGATATTTATATATTTTTGCCTTGCAAAACATTTTGTAGATATTAAAGAGGTATTCTCTCCTAAAATCTTTCTTAGTATCTGTGAAACTGTTTGGACCAAGAATTTTCAATAATTACTCAATCTATAAATACATTTTATGGGCTTTTACTTCTACTACTACAGAGCAAGCATGGACTTTGAGACAAACAATAGTTTGATGATAATTCAGTTCAACTACTTGATGCCACCATCTGCCAGAATGATATTTTCCACAGTCTAACATTTCATGGAAACCATCAGTGTGTTAGCAATACTGAGATAAAAAAATTGAGTGTCTGTGCCAAACTTTGAGACCGTTAAGTCACATCTACTGAGCACCTGACTCCCTGAGGTTGGTCTCTCTGTGTTTGAGGTCTCTTTGTGGTATGTTTTCAGAACAGCACTGCAGCCCGTTTTGAACTATATGCCAGGATGTTGAGATTTGCAGTCGCACCACAGCACTATACTCAACAACAGCTGAACGTACAGGAATGAGACTGAGGATAAAAGGAGATAAAACAGCCTTGGCACTGCTGTTTAAAGCCTGTAATGAAGGCTTTTGTATTGCTGCCTTTTGCTCCGTAGTGGTAGTGTCTCCTGCTTCTCCAGCATCGCTGACTGCGTACATCATCTCTGCAGCAGGACAGCCCCAAGCCTCCCCTTCTGTGTGACAGACAGGGTGCTGATGGAGCAAAGAAGCAATCTGCCTCCACAAGAGGAGGCAACCTGGTCCCAGCAAGCAGAGGTGGGCTCTCACTCCTACTCCTGACTCCGCTGTCAGACTCTCACGCACCTCTGTTGATTCCTCAGCTCCTCCTGCCCACGTTCAGCTGGGCTGCACAGTCTGTGCAGTGGCTGTGTCTGGATCCTGGTATCTACAGTTGCTGGCACCCAGACATATAAGCCTTCAAGGCTGCAGCCCCAGCCAAATGCTGGTACAGATCCCTCACCAACAAGTCCAACTTCATTTTCAGTAACGTTCAGGCGCTCTATTTGGGCTCTCTGTTCTGACCTTGTCTCTCTGTGCTCCTTTGTGGGTGTGCAGGTGAGCTTTTATCACACAATCTAACATGCCCTACAAAGAAGTATGCCTGCAGTCTGAAGGTAAATAAACTGATCAGAATTTAACACAAAATTGTACAGTTGTAGCACATGAATTGATCATGGTTAATAGTAATTGCAATTAGAAATAAGTAAGGGAACTCAGTAAGGACAAATGCATGCATGTACTTGCTAGGAAAATTAGTCAAGGTGATCACAGCATTGAAGGGTAGTTGTGCTCATTATAGCCAAATCCTGCCTCCTCCTGAAATCTGTTTGGGTCTGACCTCTGATGCACAGCTTTGTAGCAGACGGTACAGGAATGTTTTTTTCTTTTAAGTTTTCTGAATAGCTTCTGCTTTGTTCAGCCTAGTCAGTAGCACATGGGGGATACTATTAAAGCACTCAATTCCAATTATCCTGATAAAGAGAAACATAATTCGAGTGTGATGGGGAAAATATGATTTGATTCTCTTAGAAAGACAGATCTTACACATTAGAAAGTGATGAGATGCGAGGTGTTGTGGTTGCTAAATCAAGTAACGTTTGCTTTCTGCTGGTTTTTGGCTCACCATGCTTATCCTTTTTTAACATACCAAATTAATATTTTTGCATTTTGAACCTAGCTAATGAGTGTGCCTCAGGCTTCTCCATGCTTCTTACAGGCCTGCGTAGGGAAGGGGATTGCACAACACCTCTTGCCTGTCAGAAGATCTGGTGGTGGCGAACCAGTGTAGACATGCCAGAGCTGCTAGGACAAGCAAGTGGGTCTTCATACATCTGTGGTGAAGCAAGCAAAGATCAACTAAAAAGTTGAAAGCTGTTGAAAATAGCACCATTCACATCCACAGGCATCTATTTTAAATAGCATAGAGATTGCTCAATTGATCCAGGAATCGATTATCATTGTAGGAGCTGTCTTTCTTTCTAGATTTCCAAAAGCTCAGTTTTAAATGTAACACGGTCTTCTACTCCATGACATGGATAAGGGAATAAAATATTTTTAAACAGAGTTTAAGGATGGTGCAATAAAAAGATCAGTGGATAGCCAAATGGACAGAGCAGTCATATGGAGAAATCTTTTTTCCTTGGCTACTTGAAGTGTGTTACTACTCAGATTTAGTTTCACTTATATTAAAATTAAGTCTATAGTAATTTTTTTGTCTTTATTCTTTCAATTTTATTAATTTTATATTATTAATATTTATTTTAATTTGATCTTTTAAGTTGTATTAAAGTGCCTCTAAGATCAGGCAGCACAGACTGCCTTTGAATGGTTGAAAATCTTAGAAAGCTGTGCAGAAAGCACAGGGATCACAGTGAACCAACAGCTGAATGTGAGAATCTGCTGCAAGTTTTTGATACAAGGGGTTAGTCACTTTTACCTTCAGCAGAATGGGTGCAAGCAGTCCTGCAGTACTGTGCACTCTTTCATGTCTGTGTTTTGAAGAACTAAAAAATGTCTTTTTAAAAAAAGATGCAGAGAGATGGAAAGATGCTATACAATAAGAAGCCTAAGGATCTCAGTCTGTTTAATTTATCAAGAAGAAAATCAAGTGAATGAATAAATTTTCTGAAATGCAATGACAGGTATTAAAAAACTCTTTAATCTTGCTGAGAAAGGCAAAGCAGGGACAGCGCCTCTAAATTGAAGCCAAACCAATTCAAACTAGAGAGGAGAAACGCCTTTTTAAGTGACGAAAGCTTAATAATGAAACAGGATATCAAAAAGAATTGGTTATTTCTCAGTCAGACATCATGACTAGATTCTTTTATTTTGGGGAGCTATGGTTTAGCCAAGCTTACATTCTGCTTAAGAACGACGCAAATGACTTGACTTCACATGAGGACATTTGTGTGAAATGCAGTAGTTGGTGATGTACAGGCGATCTGATTAAAATCAGGTCTGGTTTAAGGCTACTGTTGTCTTAAGGTCAGTGATTCTCCTGTATGCTAAACTGACTTGACTTAAGAATGCTAAAACGTATTGTAGAGACAATTGGAAGCCTGACTTGATGTGTTCCCACAGGAAATGAGGTGATTGCAGTAGACTGGAAGGGACTGAAAGATGTGGACCAAATCAATATGGACAGCACCAGTTCACTACATGGCAGCAGCTTCCATCGTCCTTCTACTGAGGTGAGTGCTTGTCCCAGATACACTTATCCAAGGAGATTGAACAATTTCAGTTGCTGTGCATCACTGGGATCATCTCGGAGAGGACAAGAGTGTTAATACACACCCAAGGATGCAGTTTGGTTTGTTTAGAATAGAGTTGAGTCATTCTGTATAGATTATCTAGAGTGAGTAAGAGTTGCAAATGAAAGTACTTTTAACCACTGACAACTGGGGTAGATAGAATATGAATAAAACTGTGGCAGTTGTGGCAAACCTGTAGGTCTGCATTCCTTGAATGATGGATTTACTAAAATGCCCAACACCATGGCTCTACAGCCATACCATGTTTTGAAGAAATGTGTTTGTCTCCATTTTGATATTGAGGAATTTATTCACTAGTAATTCACTGCCAATTGATTTACCATTTAGTACCTCAATGTCTGACTCATTTCCTGTTCTGAATTAGTGCAACTTAGGTACCTGAATTTTCAGCTCGGTAAGGTTCAGGGCAGGCAGTCATGATTAGTAAAAATATTAAACTGTTTCAAACAAATAACATTTTGAAAATCACAGATAATGTTCATAAATAACGTACAGTTTAGATAATCTGATGAAGTGCCAGCATGTAGGTATTTTATTTTCTTATTACACTGGAACGCAGCTCTAAGAAACTGGGAGTTTTATGAAATCCTGATAGAAATTGTGGGGCATAACCTTGTATGGAAAACTCAGTTGAAGTTTAACACAGATCTATAACTCATTGAACATGAACTCTTATCTCATGGATCATTTATGTTCGTAGGAATAGTTATTATGACTAAAATTTATTCATCTAAATCTTCCTGCGTGCTCACATCACAAAACCAAGATGCTGAGATGTGAGCCCTCCCAGCTGAGGGAAATGCACTATGAATTGCTACTGTACTGACTGGTAAGGAAAATGGATCTGGTTTGCAAATAAAAACTGGATCAGAGTGGACAAACTGAAAGATTACAAGAGAAAATAATTTTGGGAGAAAATCAGTCTGTAACTTGTTATATTATGCTAAAAATACATAGGTAGTGTGGCTCCTCCTTGTGTTAGCCTCGGAGGGATGCACCACCCACACAAGGTTGCCAGTGTTGTGTTATTTAGCAAAGAAGTTAGAAGGGGAGTCTTAGCAAAAGGTGTTTGTATTTCTCTCTCCCTTAGACTCTTTATCATCATATTTACTTGTATACCTTCAAGCACCATGGCACTACAGACACCACAATCAACAGCAAGGAACCAGTCTGGATGTGGTGCTCGAGGATGTGATTTAGCAGCAGGTTGTTACAGTTAAGGTAGTACGGTTAGGTTGTGGTTGGACTTGGTGATCTTTAAGGTCTTTTCCAACCTGAGCGATTCTATGATTCTATTCTATGAATGAAGCCAGATTGAAAGACACATTGTTTAATTCCCCAGGTAAAATAGAGGCTGTTAATTATCACTAACTACTAGAGAGGTGCATGACAATTTGCAGCTTGTTTGTTTCACTAACACGATGTCCTTTTTTGCTTTCTTCAGCAAACACGGACAGATTTCTCCTGGGATGGTATCAATGTGAGTGTGTGCCATACTACTGTTCACATTTCTAGTCATAGGATATAGTGGCAGTGATGATGGAAACATGACATGGAAACATGTTTTGAAAGTCTTAACTGCCACTGAAATTCTGAGCGTTGTTTAAGATTCACAGGATGCTGCTGAAATTTTGTTTGCTTTTGCTGTCTGGCGGGTATTTAGATCTGGCCATTATCTTGCCTTTCTCCTTTTGAGACAAATATGTGTCATTTCTGATGTTCTCTTTGTGAGATTTCTGGACGCTGTTAGATAAAAAGGGAAGTATACCTAGCGTGTTTCAAAAATCCATAGTCTTTAATTAGAGCATCATTTGATTTTTTTCAGGGGTTTGTAGGAAGTGTATTTTATCATTTTCAGCTGTATACAGAAGTAAGGCAATTTTTACTGTCCCCTGAGGGAAACGGTCAGAACCTGTTAACTTCAGTTAACAAGTAGAAGAGGAAACAAGCAAACATTTTAATAATATATGTTCCCTGTTGCTCTTAATACCTACACCATAAAAAAACATGTTTTTTTTTTCCCCCACTAATATAAAACCAGCATCCTGAAAAGGGAATAGTGTTTATTATTGCTACCAAAATATTCTGCTCTAGTAGATTAAAAAAGGTGTTCAAATAGATTAGCTTTGATAGTTTGATACTTTGAAAGGTAGAATTAGGGATGCATTTTTGGTAGTGTAAGCATTTTCAAAATCCTGATGCTTTCAAAAGTTTAAAAAGTTTTCTGTGATTTGTCACTTAATAACAAGGGGACGTAGTTTTTTAACCAATCCTCATTCTACTGACAGCTCATTCACTGTGGCACTTATAGCTTGGGACTTTTGCCTAGGCTCAGCTAGAGAAAATGTTTGTGGGAAAATTGCAGTGCATTGCGGCAACTGTCCAGAATAAATTTGTCAGATTTTTCCTCACTGTGCTTCTGCCTAGCTGAAAGCAAGGTACACATAGTCATGTTTTCTTAAAGGTAATAGAAGACAATTTCCTTATATGCAATTTCTGATTTTTCCAACCCACTCTGAATCCATGGCAGTCTGATTTCTCAGAGTGCCTCTTTCTCTTCCTCAGTGTAATTCTGTGTACATTCTGTATACCTTGATGTCAAAGCTGGCTTATGAGTTTCCCTCTCTTTCTTTTCATTCTTGCCTTCATGCCATAGCTGTCCAGCCTTGGAGTGGTAGAGACCACCTGCAGATACTTTCTATTCTAGTTCATTTTCATGAGGTGGCTCATTTTGAAACAAATGGGCAGATAATGAACCTAGGATGGAATGACCAGAATTAGCATAGCCTGACATTCTTTAACCAGCTTTACCATCAAAAGAGATGGATCATGAAACAAGGACTATGTTCTCCACTACACCTCTCAATTTTTACTCTTCCTTCACTTCCTGATAGCTTCAGCTCACGTGTTACACACACACGTGTGGCTGCAAAGTTACAGGATGCCTCAACTGCTGCATATACACTCACTTTTCAGAGAAACTTACCTTTCTTAGCTTAGCAATTGGCAGAGATTACATGCAGTTCAGTATCTTTACATTACTTTTCTTTGCCTCTAAGTACTTTACTGCTTACTTACTGCACCTCTCGGTTTTCTTGAGGCCTGTGCCTGTGACCAAAATGCAATGCCCAGCATCTTTAGAGGAGACTATTGGATTCATCTTGAGAGATTGTGTTCTGTGATATTTGTGACTGCTGCCTGTACTTGTTATTCAGAGACTGATGATGAACACAGAGAAGAGAGTAAAGGAAATTTAGTAAAATTGTAGATCTCATTTCTATACTAGAATGAATGAAGAATACACTGATAAAGTCACATTCATTTTTAAGACTATGTAAACTATGTATACAAGAAGAAGTAAACACTGAAACCAGTGCATGAAATAATATCTGTGATGTGATGCATATTTGTGTGTTTTGTTTATCACATTGTCAGCTCTCCATTGTAAGCTTCCTGAATTGTCCATCAACCATGCATTGCCTTTCAAATAAAGAGCTGGAACAGGGCAGCATGTCCATGGAGGATTGGAAGCAGCCAAAGGGAGGCTTCTCGCAGCCTGATTCTGCCTCTGCCACTGGCCTTACCTCATTCAGTACCACAGTTATGCAATATCTAATATTAGTTAAATAGCCTCTAATTTTTCCATCCTCTGTTTTGTTGTCTTTTTATTGCTTGCTTCTGCTCTTCATCTTTCCCATACCTTCTGAAATTGTTGAACTGATTTCCATTCACTTTATTTTCTCCTTCCTGTATATCATTTCTTCATATTCTTTCTTTTCAGCTCTCCATGGAAGATACAACCTCCATCCTCCCCAAGCTGAAACGTAACTCCAATGCTTATGGGATTGGGGCTTTGGCTAAATCATCTTTCTCTGGTGAGGTCCTTAAAACTTGGGTTTATCTTTGGCAGCTTCTCTCCACAAGCCTTTCTGCTTCTTCCCATAGCTCCCTGTTGCTTTCCCAACTGCTCTCTTCTGACTCATGCGTACTCTAGGCCTTAGAGTAGTTCCACTACCACAGTTCTAGATATGTAAATCTCTTAGCTGTTGCACTTTCAAAGAGCAAATTTTGCTTCTCACCATGCACCCCAGCTCTGACATCTTCATTTGTATTCCCTCAAACTGTCTTGGGTTTAACCCCATTTTCTATTTCTTAGTTTGTTCACTTCCAGGTTTCACCACTCATGCTCAACTCTGTTCTAAATGGATTCTAGGCAAGGAAGGAAATGGCCTTTCATATTTGGGGTTTCTCTTTCCCCCCTGAGAACTAGTCCAAGAAAAGGTGGAGAAACTCTCCTGGAGAGGGATACAGTGAAAGGTGGGATACATCCCAGCCCACCCAACCCAAGGCCTGAACCTAGTCAGGAAAGGAGAGGAGAAATCTCACTTCCAAGAGAGAAAAACAGCGTGGCAGACAGCTCTGGAACTGTGTAATAGCCCTTCCTTGTTTTCTAATGTCTGGTCCCTTAGGGATATCCCGCAGCATGAAGGACCATGTCACAAAGCCAACGGCTATGGGCCAAGGCCGTGTGGCTCACATGATTGAATGGCAAGGTTGGGGTAAAGGTAACAGCCAGCAGCAGCAACATACGCACGAGACGGCACGCAAAGATGCTGACGCCTACTCAGACCTGAGTGATGGTGAAAAGGAGGCCCGGTTCCTTGCAGGTAGCTCTGATTTTTTTTTTTTTTTTTTTTTGCATGAGAATTGGGTTAGTTGGGATATTCCAGAGCAGAATCCCTGATATAATGTGCAGAAACCTGATAAACATACTCAGGAGAACCTCTGGGTGGTTCATATGGCAGATGGAGGTGAGAGACTGTGATTAGAATATTCCCAGTGGAATGCAAAGTGGGGAGGGCAAGAGCCAACTGTGAGTGATGGGCATTGCTGAAGTAGAACTAGGATGGAGCAGTGGGACCAGGAGATGCGGTTAAAAAGGGGGATAAGGGATGAAGATGTTCACACATTTCTGCTCTCTGTCCGTGTCTCCTTTGGCACAGGAGTGATGGAGCAATTTGCTATATCAGAGGCGACTCTCATGGCCTGGTCCTCCATGGATGGTGAGGATGTGAGTGTAAACTCAAATCAGGAGAATCCAGCGGGCAACTACTCTGAGAATTATCAGGAACTAATGGAGAGCCAAGGTGAGCTCCAGCACCTCTTGCTAATCTTGAAAAACCTCTCTTTCAGTCTTGGTATTGTGTTGCTCTCTTTCCACTTGCTCTTTTTCGTACTGTAGCCTCAAATTCCAGGGCTGAAATCAAAGAAAGCCATCACCTGTTTGCTATCCAAGGAATCTAACATTAACAGAGAGGCTCCAAAGCCCAATTTCTTTGGCTTGTTGGGCACAACTGGAAAGCCACCAACTCTTGCAGTCTCTTGTGGATGTAATGAGGTTCATATGCCTGCTGCTTAGAACTGCCTTTCGTCTTTGCTCTCCTCCCCTGTAAAGGATTTATCCATGTTGCCCTATACAGTACTATGTACAGACACCCAAGCTATCTGAATGAACCAGCTTGGTCTACATTGTCTAACTATGTGTTGTTTCCCTTCTTTTCCTGCAGAGCACATGGCCCAGACGCAGTATGATAGCTGGCCTCATTCCTACGTCTCACAGGGCATGTATTGCTTAGGTTCATCTGATGCCTGGGAGACCAGTGATCAGTCCCTCATTGCTTCCCCTGCAGCTGGCTCCTACTTAGGCCAGAATTTTGATGAATCGCAGACAAACCTTCAGGAAAGTATTTTGATTCAGAGCAGCCTTCTCCAGCAGCAACAGCTGCAGCAACAGCTGCAGCAACAGCAGCAGGAGCAAAACTTCATCCAGAGCACGGGGCTGGTCCATGTGTGGCCTCTGCAGACTGCGCAGGGTGGGAGTGGCGCTGAATCCAGCACTTACATGGAGGACCACCTTGAGGATAATGGGAACCCACGGCTGGAGAAGGCTCCTCTCCTAAACAAGAAGCCCTCTCCAGAGGAAGATGATGTAGTATGCCGGGACCTGGAATCACTGTCTCCTCGAGAGGAGATGGAACATGCTGCGCTGAGCCGCAAAGTCTCTGATGTTACCTCTTCTGGGGTGCAGTCTTTTGATGAGGAAGAGGGAGAAACAAACAACTGATGGTTTTTGTGAAATTCTCATCACTGCTAAAAAAAGAGTGGGGTGGCAAGGAATGAAATGACAGGGATTATTCTATCCAGCTCCCCATACTTCCAAGCAGACACACTTTCAGTTTCTGACGTTTAATTATTTTTTTAAACAAGAGGAAAATCTCAAAGTGATTGACACACGAAGACCTCTTCTTTCCCTCTACAATGGACACATATTTTCAATTTTCATTGCTCTGAGCAATGCACCTGAGGTGCTTGAAGAGATCTGGATTGGTAAATCATTTCTAAATCTTTTAAATACAAAGTCTTGGCTCTGGATTCAAACTCTTCTGGTATAGGGATATGGCTGATGCAATAGGCTTGATATAGGGAGTGGCTTTGTGGCTAGAATCCATTCTGGCAGAATGGATATTGCTTTGTGGACATGATGTTTTTGATAGAATATATGAATATAGACTGTTTTAAAATGAAGATATGGCTTTACAAATATAGATTGCACTAGTATAGTGATTGTGGCTGCTACAGAGAATAAGGCTGTATTCAATACAGACTGTACTGAGATGAAGGATTCACTGTGTAACCAGATCCTCAATAGCACCTTGATATGAAATTGTAGGCTCAGTGGATACAGACTGCGCTCCATGGGCATGGGCTGTGCTGCAGTACAGATGGCCTGGCTCTGTGTGCATGGCTGTACTGTGGCATGGAGGAATGAGTGCAGATATGTATCTAACCCTGCTCTGAGATACTCACGCTTTGGTTTCTTTGTAGTCTTTAATTTATTTGTTTCTCTCTTTGACATTTCTATCTTCCCAGGAGCTGGCAGGAATGCTGTGTCCTTTTGGCATTGGGCACCGAATACCAGTAGAAAGGACTTTGTCAGCTACTGAGTCAGTCACCAAGAGCTGACTCTTGTGGGGGGCTTGAGAACATGTCCATCTTGGTGCTGCTGCAGCATCCTTATGTCTTTTCCTTTGCCAGCAACATTGGCAGACCAAGAGAGTCTGCAGATCCAGGAATAGCATGTACAGCTATGAGATCACAGATTTCCAGTTTACGCTGGAATTTTCAGTTGTTGCTTTTTTAAAAAAAAACTTTTTATATTGCTGTTTAAGTGTTCCTAAAAAAGCAGTTAGTAGTGGTGAAGGCCTGTTCTCCCGTCGTTACTTACTATAAATACTGCACCTTTCCCATTTCTGCCACTCCTTCTGCAGTGCCAAACGCAGACGGAGGAAAGGGGCTAGAGACAAAGTTTCTTCCTATTTCTTTCTTCTCCTTGCTTATATATATTTTTTTCTTTTGTTTTCCTACCTTCAGACAATGTAAATAACAATCAAAGCTTGGTCTGTTTCTTTTGCCCCATCTCTGCTCTTTTTTTAGGAGTGGAGAAAGCTGATTTTACAAGTTTTTTCTATTTTTTTGGGTTCTGTTTTTTTTTTTTTCTTTCTTTCTTTTTAATGTTAAAAAAATTACAGTTTGTTGACTGGTGGGAATTTGGTCTCTCACAGTTCCTCACTATGTTTCTATGGACCTCCTTTTGAAGGGAAAGGACTTTGTAAGGTAACTAAAAAACTGTCTTCTCTTAAGCTTTCACCAGGAAACAAATGGGAACAGAAATAAAAGAAAAAAAATTGTACAAGGCTATTGATTTTGCTAGAGGGCTGACCAGAACAGTGGAAATTACACATGTTGAGTTTTAATTGCAATATCTCTAGGAATGAAGCATCGGCAAAGCACGGGTTTAGATGGGATACTAGATCTGATGAGCTAGAGGGAGGAATTTGCCTGGACGCTGCCATACTGTGCTAGGGGCATCACTTCCTACTTTCTCTGATTCATACCTACTCTGTTCAGTTCATCAAGTGTTTGTCTATTCTTTGCCTCCTCTTCTGGCTTGTATTTTTGGATTACAGGAGAATGATACGTGCTCACTTCCTGATTCAGCTTTAGACTCATCAAGGATGTCTAAGGAGAGTGAAATGTGACCAAAATAGCATCATCAGATGTCAGAGTTCAGACAGCTCCTGGCAAGCAAAGTAGCCTATGTCCAGGAATTATGAAAAATACAAATGGGACTCTCAGGTAAAACTTTATCCCACTCAGCTTTCTCTCACATTGGCAGCTGTATGAAGAGGGAAGTCTAAGAACTCCCAGGTCTTTCCAGCCCTGACCATTTCAAGAGGATGTCTTCCCTCTCTGTTGTTCTTCTAAAAGAAAAGACCTCTGGGATTTTTAAGTAAGATTGATAATTTGGTGTAGGTAAGAGATAAAAACTTTTGTGACCCTTTTTTTTAGTCAATTTCCTTGGGCTTTCTTAAATCTGTTGTAGGAAGTAGCTCTTCTCCTGAATGATGGACTTTCAGTTTCTCTGTGCAGATGTTTACACATTCAAGTGCTAACTTCCCTTGGGCAGCAGCACTTGTTAACAGTTCTTTCAGGGTCTCTGCTAGCTCATTTTCCTGAACTGGCTTTGATCTAGTTGTGGATCAGGGCCAGGAAATCACACTAACCAGAGCAGGGGACAGTGCAAGTGCCAAGGGTACCTCAGCAGAGGACAAATGAGGAAGTGTTAGTCTTTTGTTACTTCCTAAAAAAAAAAATAACCTTCAGGGAAACAGAATAGTCTGGGAAGTTTCTTTGTGGGAGAAGATTTGAGTGCTTTGTTGCTTTTTTCTCATATGCCTCTCCAGAACTAATATGGATGGTTTACAGTGTTTCAGAGAAGCTTCAGATTATCTTTCCATGTTGTCTATGTGACTGAGACAAGTGGGTCATATTGTCTATGGCTTTTTTCTTTTTTTTTTATACTGTGGTATTTAATAAGGCATATAATCAGTGTCTAAAAGATGTACATTTTCCTCCATGCAAGGGAATGACAGGGAAATATCTACATACGAAAAAATGTGAAAAAAACAAGAATTGGACTTATGGAAAATTCTGTGGATTTCGATAGCGAGGGAAAACCTATCTGGAGTTTTCTAGACTCTGTTGAATAGGATATACGCTGTATAATTTCATAACCTGATCTCTAGAAATGTATAGATAGACTCATTCTTTGTGCAGTCTAATGAGTTTGAGGAGTACTCTGTGAAAACTTTAAAGCTTACGACACTCTATAAAGTTTTTTCATAAAGGTCATGACTGTCTGTGAATGAAATTCCAGCCTATTTCTGAAAGATGAAAAAGGCTATTTTTCACAACCTCTCCACAATCCAGACGATAAATGTATCTGCTTCTCTAATTGAAAGGAACTTGACTGGAGATAGCAGGCCACCCATAATCACTTGCTACTTGAGTAAGCATCCAGAGCTGAACTGGAAAGGTGATTTGAATACAAGTGAAAGGTTTGTATAACCTGGCCTTTTCTTATGTAATAGGCTTGCTGCTTGTGTGTATCCTCTATCAGAGAGAGTTACCTGGAACCTAAAGCACATTTTCCAAAAAAACCATCATTATATAGTTACCTATTGAAGCATATGGAAGGCACAGGTGCTCTGTGAGCAAAATTTGGCTTCTAGTTCTTTATCCTGGTGAGGGTGGATGAATTGTACAGTGTCCAGCCAAGTACTCAGAGTGCAAATTGAACAGTGAGGCTGAAAATAGTAAGGAAATGTAAGCTGAGTATACCTGATCTATCATCAGGGTTGCTTATTTTTGATCAATTATACTCCTTTATTTAAACCCAGAAAATGGAATGGGGGAGAAATAAGAACATCAGATTGGCAAAATCTTGGCAGATTTGTTATATTAAGATTTGGAACAAGTGCTGGAACCAGCAGCTTTGGGCTGCCCTAATAATGCATGAAAAGTGACTACCTCAGAACATCGGAGATGAGCATGTTTCATCTCTAAGGCATAGTTTCTGGCTCGCTTACATGTTGAGGGGGATGTAGGGAATTACTAAGTGGTACATGAATATTCTATGCTAAAGCCTTGATCAAAGAAAGTGGCTAGGAAAGCGAGGCACCTTAGAACTACTAAGTCATTGGTTTGGGCCTCTACCTTCCTAGCAGCTGTTAATCTTCCCTTTATGACCACTGATGTAATTTGATGAATGTCAGATTATTGCTTAATTGTTCCCCTTGCTTCTTTTCAGTGATGGCATCAGAAATGACATAATGCTAGTGCTCCTGTTCCTGTTGTCCTATGACTCAGAGGGAGGGCAGATCTTATTTACTTTACCTAAGATACAATGGAGTGCCCCTGTTTAGGCAGCTCTGGACTGCACCCATCCAATTCAGTCAAATAAGATCTACAGACCCTGCTGTGTTTCACAGGATGAGTTCCTTCCATTCAGGGCCCTGGGATTACAGTGACTCAACAATTTTGCTTGTTTGGTCCAAACCTTAAAGACAAGAACCATACAAGAGAAGCTTACATAATTTTTTCTTTATAGACTCATTTTAAGCACTCTTCACAAGCTTTTTGAGTTTTCTTCAACCCCATTACCTCACACTCTGGGATGGAGAAGTCAATCTGCTTCTTCAGTTTCTGTGCTTCTAAGTCAGCAACTTCTGGGAAACCGCTGACAAGTCACCCACTTCCCTTTTCTCTCTTACCCCTTTAAGACTTTAAATCATCTTTCATGGTAAGGTTGAAGCAGAGAACAGAATTTAACCATAACTTTAAGATGATAAAACGGTGAGATGCTGTGAAGGAAGCAGCCCTCTGCCCTGATTGTACTCACCTCCCACAGCCCTTGTGCAGATACTGATAGACAGCTGACCCCACAACAAACCTTTATACTCTACTGCAAAAGGGAAGAGGGAACAGCTGTGAGCAGATGGAGAATGAGCATTATTCTCAGCATCTGGCATTTATATCAGGTTAGGTAAACTGTGAAAGTCCATTTTGAAATTGTATCTCCATGACAAGTCTAAGCTGCCAAAGGAAGCTGTCATGCTTCCTGCCTTTCCTCTCCAACATCTGTATGCTTCTGCTGCCTAAGAAGCATGAGTATTAACATTCATTTGGCTGCTCAGGAACTGGCACCAATGAAAATGAACTCAGTTCCCTCTTAAAAAAAGAGTTTCAGCAATTTTTATTGTTTCACTTGGTGAAACTTATTTTTTTCTGGATGGAATATCCCTTGTTTGTTGTTCAGGCAACTCTATAAACAAATCACCATTTCCCTTAAACTAATTGTTTGACTTTTTTTTTTTCTTTTTCTTTTTTTTTTCCTCCAAAAGAAGAACAAGAGAGGAAATAGAAATGAAACCCATTCCAATACCGAGATTATCAGCAACACCAGCTTAAAACTAGAAAAATACAAGTGACAGATTCATTGTGAATTTGATTCCGCTCCCCTGTAGTAATCTGACAGGGAAAGATTGCTATGCCATGGCTCAGGGAAAGGAAAAAATAAACAGGGAACATGTTAGTAAAGTAGTGCCTATTAGAACTAAACGTATGTGTAGCACAGCCTACAGTCATTAAAGCACAGTCTCAAATATGAATGCAGGCTGCAAAGTCAACATTAGGTGCCTCTTCTGTATGACAGTTGTTTGGCAGACTAAATAGTAGTGAATCTGCACAGGAACAGAAGAGTAAAACTTGACATCTGTGTCAGAGCAATGGCTTTCTTCATCTCAGAATGCATCTAGAAGCCTGAGCAAGAATTAACTGGGGTGGGAAAGAGGACAGATAGTTATTATGTTAAGAAATGGACACAGGAGACCTGCATTACAACATAAGGGTCTATTTACTTTTTTCCCCAAAATAGGGAAAAAAAGTGGTATCTTCTCTTTGGTAATCAAGAGAAGCTCTATAAATGTCTGTTGTTGGTCCATAAGATGGACCAAGAGAAAAAGGTGGTGCATTGTTTTTTGTTCTGTTTGGTTTTGTTTTTTTGTCAGTGCAAATACACAATGCTGGAATTGGAAAAAATTAGTCAGTCCAGGACTCTGAGAAAGAGTATGTTTACTAAAACTGTGGAGACTTGGTTCTTAAAGTTATGAAAACTTGTTCAAGTAAGAAGTCTCTCAGTGCAGATGTCAAAGAACTTATGTACTGATGAGTGGTAGCTGCTGTCTTCTAGGAACAGAGGAGTTGCAGCGTTATGTAAAAAGAATGTTATCTGTTTTTATTGGGGATGTTTTGCATGTGCTGGTCTTGTTTCTGCTTTTCCCTAAGGGAGCAAATGTCCGTGCTAGTCAGACAAAAACATCTAAAATGGATTTTCTCCATGTTGGAAATAAGGATATGTGAATGAAGATTTACTTGTAATGAGATAAAATCATCTAGTACATATTTACTAGTTTGCTGGATTCATTTTCATTAGGCATGGAACTCCAGTGATATGTTGGAGGTTAAAAGGTTAGGAACCCTTTTCTAAAGCTCTGCTGAGCTTCCATGGGGCAAATGCAGGTGGACTTCACTTCTTTTTGGATGTTGCATGTGAGCAATGTAGCAAGCCAAAAGCTCTTTTGCAGGCATATATTCTTGTTTGGCTTCATTTTCTCTTCTCTGGTTTGTGGATATTGTGGATTATTGGAGGTGTCTGAGAATCCCTAGACAACATGGTAGGAACTCAGAAGTAATTTCACAGGGAACATAATTTATCTCTTTTCATATATAGGAGGGTCCAGACTGAGGATCTGGGAGATGCAAGGGTGGTTGATGGGACTATGGGGTG